TGGGAACATCGATATAAAAATAGCCGGAGTCGTCAGCACGTTAATTACCCAGGCCAAAAGTACACTTGCACCTATGATATTGGCCGACATCTTCCGTGCTCTTACAGCTTGCAAAGCCGGGGAAACTTGCTTCGAGGGGTGCAACTTGTTATTACAAATGTGGATGATCGAGCATCTGTGTCATCGCCCTCAGTTTTTGAGCTACGGGTCTCCAGAAAAAACATGCATAGAAGAATTTTACACGAGGACTAAAGGAGCCAAATTGCCGGAAGGAATCACGGGATGGACAACATATTTCCGGTCCCTCACGGCTAGCCAAATAGAGTGGACACTGGGATGGTTACCCGTTGATGAAATCGTATATATGCCGGCAGCCCGACCACATTTCCTTCTAATGGGGCTTAGAAGCATTCAGCCTTACACCCCGTATCGAGTGTTGAGGCAGCTGGGGAGATGCCAGATAGTACCCAAGGATGAAGATCTTAGTTTGCAAGTGGTTGAGATTGGCCCTGATGGTCAGTTCCCTGAAGCAATAGTTCGCCAGATTTGGAACGAATGCCAATACTTAAAAAGGGATACTTGCGTACAGGATCGGGCCAAAGGTGAGGTGTCGCCAGGATATCTTGCTTGGTATAGAAGAGAATGTGAGCACGAAAGGCCAGCTAAAAGACCACACATCCAGGACTTTGCTGAATCATCGCAAGAACAGTGGGCTTGGTTAGCTAAAGAAAATGAATACAGGGCCCGCATAGGAGCATTGGAAAAACAGGTCCAAGACCTCCGATTTGAAAACAGCTTGCAGGCCGCCGCTGACGAAGGTGAGAGAAAAAGATTGGCCAAAGAGAATGAAGTCTTACGAGCCCAAATCCAAAAGATGAAGCTAGAGGCCGACAACCCCGTCAGAAGTGCCAAAGATACAAAGCTTATAGCAAATCTAAGGCAAAAGGTGAATGATTACAGTTTTGACCTCGACAAAGCAGAAAAGGAATTAGTAGGGGTCCGGAGACAATTGGCTAAAAATGCAGAAGAACGGGCTCACATGATTAAGCAGTTAAAAGAAGAATTTGACAATAAGGTCGCAAGATTAAAGGAAAAGGCCACTGCCGCAGAAAACCGAACGATTAAACAGGCAAAGGACTTCAAAGTCGAGAGAGAACACTGTTACATGGCATTGGCCCAGCTAGAAATGGACTTGCAGCAACTTCGAGAACAAAGCCAGGCGTTTGAGCAGACTTTGGAAGCTAGGGCCCAGCAGATAGGGCGGTTACTTCAAGAGAAAGGAAGAATCCGAGAGAGAATCTTAACCGTTGCTCATTCTATTACCCGGAAATGCCAGATGTGCGAGAACATGACCCGTACCACCTTCTTTGCATCAGTCATGATATTTGTGAAGCAGATAATGAATGACTTAGACAGACTCCAAGGGGAACTTGCATATAGGCCCGCGGCGAGACCGAACGATGTCCCGCGGGCACCAGGGGCTTTAATGTATTCATAGTCGTTTTTGAGTCTACTAGAGTTTGCCTTTTGAGTCTGCATTTCCTTTTAATGGAGTTAGGTCCTTTGGGCTTGTATTTCTTTTATCGGAGTCTGTATTTCCTTTTTTGTTAAAAGACAGTCAGTTGATTGAGTCTGTGTTTTGTTTGAGCTAAGGTAGGGATAGTGGAGTCTGTAGTCAGAGTCTGTTTTGAGTCTTTGTAATAGACATAGTTGCTATCAATAAACTTGAAAATTCCCAAAAATATTCTGCTTCTACTTTATATTTATCCTGCACGAACTACGCCTGGTCTGATTCACGCAGGGTCGTGATACGTAGGCAATCTCCATAGGATCCGACCATTTCTAAATAATAAAAGGAAAACTAAAAAGGAATGATACAAATAAGGGAAAAACCAAAGGAAAAGAGAATCCAAAAGAGGGAGAGAAAAGCAAAGTGAAAAGGGAAAGATAAGAATAGGAACTAATTGGCAAGAGAAGGAAATAAAAGCCGGGATGACGCATGTGATTGAACAGCGACATAATAGCAACGTTTGATTGTTTAGGTGCATCCATCCATCAATGTGCGGTTATCTATTTGTTAATACCCTAACCGCTAACAAGTTGTTGTTGATGAGTTCAGGCAGGTGATAAGCTGACTGGCATTCTGGCAACCCACCCTTACAACACCCGCTCCAAGGACAAGTCGAAAATGGCCAATCAAGATATAGAAGCAAGCATCGTCGACCCATCCAGAGAGGAGGAGGCAATGGATGTAAATACAATGAGAGAGGAGATGTATAAGTTAAAGCAGCAGATGGCCGAAATGTACCAGGCCTGGTCGAAGGGACACCCCCCACCAGCCTATCCTG